TTTTGCACCTCCCGGCCAGGCGAAAAATTTGCTCGCTCCTCTAAATTGCTAATTTCTCAACGTTGCCCAAGACGCCGAGACTAATTGACTCGTTATACACAGCTTGCGCGCGGCCTCATCGCCAGACGCATCGTTCCAATTACCAGCGGCTTCTCGAACATCGCTGGCAATAAGCGACGCTCGCGACAGGATCCTCGCGCCGACGCACAGCTCGATCAATTAGAGATGCGCGCGTTCGGCTTGCAACTAAGCAGCCTCGTCGGGAGAGACGTTCCCAGCGCGGTGCGCGTGTGTCGCGCGCGCAAAACGTTGGGAAACGAGCCCGAGTGAAATCGTCGCTCGGCGCCTTTCGCTAATAGCGCCGCGCGCAAGGCCGCGTCTGCTTTGTCTCGGCTCGTTTCTTCGCGCGGAGACGCAGGAGATCGCGTGCTCCGTGCCCCGCAGCCACCGGCGAGCGCCAACGTTTCGGCAGTGGGCACCACGGGCAAATCGTCCAGCGGAAAAGACCGCGCGACCGAGCGAGAGTCCGGCGAATGCCGCGCGCCGAGCCTTCCTATTGAACGCCGAGCGCCGCGGAGGACGTGGTGCGATGTGCGCCCTCGATCCTCTCACTTGCCAGCCTCTCTCTCTCTCTCTCTCTCTCTCTCTCTCTCTCTTTCTCGGCAGCGAAGAGGCGACCGCGATCTGACGGCGCTCCGACGTAACCTCCGTAATCGGTAGATTAATGCAGGGATTGCGGGCGTTGTACCGCGTCTCTCTCGGCGTCCCTTCTCTCTTCCCCGCGCCGCAGTCTTACCGAAAATCCCCGCGGGGCTACGGACCGACCGGCCAACGTGCCAAGCAAAGCGTCGTACTTCTATTGGGAGAACCGGCCGTGTGCGAGTGCCGTCTGCGCGCCGAGTATAAAGGTCGCGCGCGAAAGGGACTCTCGTTCGACAGCTGCTCAGCGCGCGATGAGTCGGCGATTTTTTTCGCCTTGTGTATTTTCTTTTGCAATTGTTCGATCGAGCGCGCAAACGTACGTTGCGCGCGCGTTGCATCATAAGCGCCGTGACTCTAGCATTCCGCTGCAGTTTGCTCCCGATAATGAGCAGGCATATACTGCCAGCGGTTGATATACGAACTTGCAGAATAGCCACTCGTCCGCAAGTCGCGAGTGCGTCTGACTGCAGACGACCATTTCTACTTGACCTCGTTCTTGGACGTACATTGACTCTTAAATCAGACTGATAAATCGCAAAGGGCAACGTATTTGCGCTACAAGTTAAATAGTCATTGCGTTTGGATTGCATTACTCTACGCTTGGCGTGATCGAACGTTGTTTCGCTACAGCTACAGCTCCGTTCGACAGATGCGTGATTTTTTTGTTTGTATTGACCTCGGTGAAGCCGTACAATCGCGCGAGAAAGGATCCGGTCGAAAGTAAGCAACAACAACCGTTGATGCTGGCAAATTGAACAAGTACCGTCGCGGCAATTTCGTCGCGAGCCTGAGTGCCAGCTCGTGGTAGGCGATTCCTACGCGATAAGCGGTGAAAAGCATCGGGACGATCGACGAATACTCGTATTTATATAATAATAATTAATGACTCAATGTGAGAAAGTGGGCGCGAAAGCAGTCGGCAACCAGTTTGTCCGGGCCGCGGAGAGCCTTCGACACACGTTCGAGATGGAAAACGAGAATGTCCCGAGTAATAATTAAACGGGGGAATCGCGCAGGTAATCGCTCATGCGCAAGCCAGAAAGCCAGAGGCGTCGGGCGGAGAGGAGGAGGCTGCCGGAATTCCGCGAAAACGCGGTTAGGCACGAGAGAACGAGCGCGAGAGGAGCTTTCTTTCATTGCACTTTTACCGAAACAGGTTCGACCGGATCGAAATCGGATCTCTGGCTAAATGACAGAAAGTCTTGCGCGCCTTCCCTTCTCCGCGCGCATAAGCTGGCAGCGCGCGCCAATACGTCTTTCGCACTGGAAAGCAACGTCCGAGAGTTAATCTGCTTCGGCGAATTTCAGCGATTTTATCGCCACCTGCGTGTTAAAAATTAAATTAAGCTCTCCCTCCCTCTCTCTCTCTCTCTCTCTCTCTCTCTCTCTCTCTCGTGATAGCCGAAGCATCATCGTCAATCTACCGGCGATTTACACGTAAAATAGAGCTTAGCATGGTCGGACAAGGCGGCGTTCACCGACTTGTTGTTCGTATGATCCTCGCTCCCTCAGAGGCCTCGTTTACTGGCACAATGCGGCTCTCGGCGCGCGAATAGAACGGAACGAAACTTGTTCGTGGATGTGTCGTGACGACACAGAAGTGGGTCTCTTTTTGCGAATTGAGCGTAGACACTCGCGAGTGTCGATCCGGGCTTTCGGACACTCGTTTGGCGCACGCACGATCGAGATAGGAATCGATAGCCCCGCGCCTCGAGGCTGCAACGGCCAGCCTCGATAATTCCGCTCGCGCGCTCGGACTCTAACGCTGGAATATCATCGCGGTTCGCCAGCTGACGCAATCGCTTACGTAAGGATCCGATCTCGATTGGAACAATGTCCCTCCGTCATCGGGATCACCCGGCGAAGCACCGATATAAGCGGCGCTCGCGGCTCGTCACTCGCGCCAGCCGTTCTTTTGCCGTTGGCCCGAGAGTGAAAGCCAAGTTTTTCGTTGCAATCGTTTCCTTCGCGGGCGTATGCTGCACGCCCGTCATTCGAATCTCGAATGTCTATGGTAGACCGGCGCGAAAGTGTAATTGCAGCGAGACGCGGCTTCCCGAAATCACATTCGGAGGGCAATTGACAAACGCGCGCGTCCTCGTCGTCGCCACTGCAGTTTCTCAAGGATAATTAATTGCGTCACGAGGTGGCCCGGCCGAGAGAACGCTTTCGTCTCATTAGACGGACGTATTGCGATGCCTGGGAGCAGAGAAGCGCGCTCGATTTCAGAAATGTCCCGAGAAACGAGACGCGTCGAAACGCCCCCCTCCGCCCGAAAAAAAAAGTCAAAGCGCAGGCGAAAGTTCACGGCTGCGTGATCGCGTTTCGCCCCGAGAGAAAGAATGCCTCGGCCAGACGCTTCGTGCACTGTGCATTTTGGACCCTGCGCGGCTTTCACGCGCCGTTCTTATTTTCTATTCATTGGAATTTCCATCCAACATCTTTTCAATTATTCAGTCGTTCGCGAGTTTCTACTACGTTCACCAATCAAAGAGACAATACGTCTCGAGCGAATAAGAAACAATGTATCAACACCTACGCATGACGAAATAACCGGATCGAAACGAAATCGAGAGAATGTTAAGCATATAACGCTACAATGAACATTTGCATGCTTACTGTTGCGGTTATTACAAATCCATTCCATGGAATATGAGAGCCCGAAAAACTAAAATCATTACCTAATATCGTCACTGTAGATATCATTTCCGCAACGGTTTACGAAGTTGATATTGAAAATCTGCATTTTCAAGTCAATATACGCATCGGCAAAGTCGGCGAAAATATTTTATCGAGATGGGAGACGGTTTTTGTAACTCGCCAACTGTTGAGAAAAACAACAGTAATTGCTTAAAAAAAATTAATATCCGTCGTTGGGTAGCGACACAAGCGTCGAATATTTCAGGTTGTGTAACTATCGAATATGAATTCAAATTGCATAAACAGCGTGAAATGAGGGTATAACGAAAGAATCCGCTACTCGAGCGAACGCCCGCTTACGGAATAGCTCGTCTCTTTCTCTTTCTCTTTCTACTTCGTGTATGCGTTTTCTATGTTTCCTTTCCCTCGTTCGTTTGTACGTTTTATTGACGTCTTCATCCATTTATGTATCTGTTTCCTATAACGTTTAAATCTTTGTCCTTGTATTTTTGATAACTATACGTTACTTTTGCGTATTGTCGCGGTAAGCGCTTTGGCCCTAATAAATACTAATCCAGTCTTACTCTCCTTCTCACAAGCATCAGCTCGTGCGAAAATCTTGAGCAACTGCGGGCGCGATAATAACGCCCAAACCCCCTGACTGAATCATCGGGCTAATAAGGAAGACGAGAGTAGTTTCTGGGAATTACGTCAGTTTGGAAGTTGAATACTGCAAATATCTCTGTTCCATCAGAAAATCACTCAGAACCTGTATTGAAAAACGACGTCCGCAACCCCCTGTATGCGCACACAAGTATACACGGTCGGTCTGTGAATCAGCGTTCGCGAGTCGCTTAGCTGAGAGAAAGAGAGAGAGAGTCTGGTCTGGTGGGTTCTCGCTCAGGGTCAACCACTTTTGGTTTCGCTGTTTACACGCCAACACACTTACATCGCTCGGCTCGCCGCGGCGCGGCGCGGCTCGCTCGCTCTTGGACCCTTTGGACGCTCGTCAAATTTTTACGAGGCATCTCTTGCAGGATCTTTAGCGCTCCGCGGCAAACGATCGAGCACATGCTAGTTTCCGCGAACAGCAGCCAAAGCGCTCGGAGACCACCGCTAAGCCACGTGAGCCGGGGTCATGCGCTGCAGCGGCAGTAGCAACAGCAGCAGCAGCAGCAGAAGCAGCAGTATCCACCGTCCAGCGTGCGCGAGCACTGTACAAGTCGATCGAGATCGCGTGCTGCTCGTTTTTCTCCGCTGCAGGCTGCTGGCTGCGCGCAGGATCCCCGGGGTCCGTAAGCCAGCGAGCGAGCGGGGCGTGGAAAAAGGACGACAAAAAGCACTCGGCAAAACGAGCAAGAGCGACGCGCCGAGAGGGATCGAGAAAAGGAGCATAGCGAGGCTCACCGCGTCCTGGTCTCGTGCGTGCTGAGAGAGCGCCCGAGCGAACGATAGATCCGGCGAGCTTCTTCGCCGCTGACGTCACCCTTCTTCTTTTGTTTCTTCTTCTTTTGTTCGGTTCTACCAAGCGCGAATATTCCTCTTACTCCCCAGGCTTGCTCGGTTCGCTCTTTTACGGACGAAATAATTTCGACGTTTGACTGATTCGACGCGATTATTTACTCGTTTTGTCTGGTTGCAGATCGCGAGAACGCATCATGCCGTACGAGAGCACCGACGGCGGCACCGACAATCCGGCCTTCACCCACGACGAGGATAACTCTAGCGCCGGGCGCGGCTCCGAGAGTGCAGCCTGCAATTCTTCGGGAGACGAGAAGGTCGCGAACGAGAATGGCAATCACTCGTTCGTGTCGAAGCACTACGTCGAGCCACGTAAAAGCCCCGAAGCACATTTCAAAACGGAGACCAGGATCGAGGTGCCAGACGAGACCACCGATCTTGAAAAGCCAAAACAGAATGGTCATCAAAACGGCAATGGCAACAATAACGATGTCAGTTTTCTCAATACAACGGTGACCAGCGTTTCAAACAACGGTTAGTTATGTTTGGTCTTTACGTACGTGCAAAAACGCTCCTCCACCTCGCTACCGCTTTCCTAATCGCGCGCACATGCCAAGGAGCGGGAAAAAGTGCATTTTCACCTTGTCCGCGCGGTCGTATCTTGCGACACGCTCACTCGCGCGACCTTAATTGTCATCGTTTTCTATTCGATATCTCGTGTAGCGCACGACTCGATCAAGACCCTGAGCTCGTGAACTGTGATGAAAGCTACGTAGGCCAATCAAAATTAATCGGCCTGTCGTCTTTAATTTACGAGCAACGATGTCGACCACTTTCGCGCGCATATCGCTTATAATTAATTGTTGATTGCAGATGTTAACGACAAGAAAGAGCCGATTGAAGCCGTTAATCTCGAGCTTGTATCCATGAAACCGTACTCCGGCTCCAACGCTCATCAAACCAAGAATCAGGAGGCTTGCGAGGTGCCGGCCGATCCTTATGAAGAGTACTTTGTGCCGGTCAATGAACACAGGAAATTCATGAGGTAAACTGGGTTGCTATCAATTCGATCGACTTAAGGGGAGGTTGGTGAGTTCAGTGTTATTAGTGCGCCACTCCATAACTTAGGATTTCTGTGTTTCTTGGTTCCGCAATGCGAATTTTGGAATTTACCATGTCGCCCTTTCCAAATTCACTTTTCTTGTTTTAATCCAAAATTGAAAAAAAAAACCCACCTACAGAGGTATTTTGATTGGTTATTATGCCCCTCAAAAATTAGCAGAAGCCCCATCAGAGAGGTTGAAACCACCGTAGCAGGAGTCCGATTTGATTTGGGTCCGGGTGTCGGCCGTGAGGGACTCAGCCTGAGAGACCCGGCCGCCGGACTGGTTGACTATTCCCACTGGCTGACAGCCCTCAGGTACACACTGCCAATGACCGTGGGATGCTTTCTGTCTAAAAACAAGTCAACAGCATATCCGTTGCGCGGATACTGCTGTGGTCCAGGAATTCACACTAACTTATTATACGCTTCACGGGGCATCTTAGAGATTTATAGGCCAATCAACCCAATTTGTTAGTTTTTGCCACTCAGATCAGAATATAGATGCACGCGATCATCTTAGACTTTCAAATTAGTTGATAGCTCATTGAATCCTATAGTGGTTTTAAGATTCATCCAAATCAAACAAAGGGCACACCAGTAATGCGTTCACGAAGCCGGTTGCCAAGGCCAATGGCATAATATACAAACTTTAACACCATCACCATTTAGGTATAGGAAATAATAAAGCACCCTTGGTTTGTTAGGTTTCAATCGGTTTTAACAAAACTGAAGGAGCTTTTAATATGCAATCTAGCGACTGCCTGATTAAGGATACTGCACAGCTGTATAAATTGCTTTCAAATTATGAAGAAAATCTACCGTTGTTGAGCTACTTTTGCTAAGTTTATGTTTTTACTTTCAGAGGAGAGAAGCTGTATGTCACAAAGGATAAGAGGTCTACTAAATCATACTGGAGGAAGATAGTTTGTTGGGGTTGCGGCTTTCTTATTGTAGCAATAATTGCTATCATCGCCATATTAGCCGGGAGTATGTATTTGATCTATTGCATATGAATTTCTTAGAGATATGTTTGATTTAGCAACAACGTTCTTCGTTTAAGCTGGGGTCATATTGATGCAAGATGATACACATCCACTATTGAACAGTGACAAAACAAGTTCCAGGCAATTTAATGATGTACATTCTGCAGGAAGTCAAGAGTACATAAAGAATCCTCCGTCGAGTCCTCCACCTGCAACGTCAACTTTCCCACCATGGCCTACGACAGATGAATCACTTTATCGATATGTTCCTAAAGCACTGGATGGCGTTCTGAAGTTAGATGATTTAGACTGGAATAACGATATGAATAATCCTAAGTCAAGAGTATACAGGGAGGTTGTTGATGATTTAGAAAGGAATTTAGTTAAAATGTTAAGTTTGAACGACGTTATGCCTATAGTTAAAGTCCACTCGATATCCAAAGATGGAGAAGTCAAATTCAGAGTTAGTCAACCTGTATTTGAAAAGCTACAAGACAACCAAAATCACTTGGAAGACAAATTCCGACAGAACGGTAGTGCCATAGGCAAATATCACGTGAACCATCTACAAATACATTCGTTAGTTAATGATTGCTACTCTGGAAATATGAAGTGTAATGATAGTTGTGTTTATGACTATCTTGAAACTATTTTTATATGCATGTGTCCTACTGGGCAATCTTTCGATTCCAATAATAAAAAATGCATTGACAATATCGAATCAACACATACGCATTTTACAAAAGCTGAATCTGAAGATATTCGAGGCAGAAGCAGAATACCTGATGACGTGTATCATCCAGAATCACACGACTGGAAGGATTCAAATTTTGTTTCACTAGAACGTCAGCATGAACATACTTCATCAGAACCAACAAAACGTCCCGAGCCATCCTCTGAACCACAACCAGTAGCCGAACCCAAAGCTGAGCCTGAACCAATTGCAGAGCCGAAAACTGAATCAGAAACCTTCAGCAAAGTGCAGCCAGTTTCTGAGCCTAACAGTGAGTCAGTATCATCTGGCGAGCCACAACCGGCTGCAGAACCTAAAACTGAGCCAGAACCATCTGGAGAACCACAATCGGATGCTGAACCTAAAAGTGAGCCGGAACCAGTCAGCGAACCGCACCAAGCTGTTGAGCCGCAAAGTGAGCCAGAACCAACCAGCGAACCGCAGCCAGCTGCTGAACCTAAGAGTGAGCCCGAACCATCTGGCGAACCACAATCGGATGCTGAACCTAAAAGTGAGCCGGAACCAGTTAGCGAACCGCAGCCAGCTGTTGAGCCAGAACCAATCAGCGAATCACAGCCAGCTGCTGAACCTAAGATTGAGCCGGAACCATCTGGCGAACCACAGTCAGCAACTAAATCTAAAAGTGAACCAGAACCAACCGGCGAACCGCAGCCAGCTGCTGAATCTAAGATTGAGCCGGAACCATCTGGCGAACCACAATCGGATGCTGAACCTAAAAGTGAGCCGGAACCAGTTAGCGAACCGCAGCCAGCTGCTGAGCCAAAAAGCGAGCCAGAACCAACCAGCGAACCGCAGCCAGCTGCTGAACCTAAGAGTGAGCCGAAGCCTTCCAGCGAACCGCAGCTAGTTGTTGAATCTAACAGTAAGCTCAAACCACCTAGCGAATTAAAACCTTCTGCTGGAAGTGAACCGGAACCAATCAGCGAACCAAAGCCAGAAACCGAGCCTACGACGTTATCAGAAACAGCAGCAGAACCTAAAAGTGAACCGGAACCAACCAGCGAATCACAGCCAGCTGTTGAACCTACGCCGTCAAAAAAGCCTATAGTTGAGCCTGAGAGTGAACCGGAACCAGCCAGTGAACCACAGCCAGCAGCGGAGCCTATCACGCCAATCGAGCTAATGGCAGAAACGAAGAGTAAGCTAGAGCCAGCTAGTGACATTAAGAACAAATCGGAACCATCTGGCGAACCGCAGCCAATTGCTGAACATACGGCCTCAACGGAGCCTTTAACAGAACTCAATAGTGAACTAGATTTAAAAAGTGTTTTAAAAAACGAGCCAGAATCGTCTAGCGAGCCAATTCCATTTACAAATAAATCCGTCATGTCTAGTAGCATGCCTTCTGCAGTCACTGATCCCGCTATTTTACTGTCAACTGGAGGTACATTTGAAAATACATCACAATTTTCAGCTACTTCGAAAGAAATTGGTAATTTCTCAACGAAGCTTAGTGAAATTAACGCTACTGAAAACCATCAAGAAAGTCATGAAAATAGTGCAATAAACATTTTCTCTATGAGTCCAGAAGATACTACGATACCGAATGAGCCAGCTACAGTAATTGGATTAAATGAAGCAACTTCTCAAATGAACAGCGAAAATCAGTCTGAGATAGAGAAGAATAATGAAAGTGAAACTGACGTGGTTCTTGGCAAAGAATTTGTGAAAAAGGGTTCCCATTATAATACAAATGAGCAAGACTCATCGAATCCAGTTGAAGTACATGTTAAGGAATTCAGTGTCAGTGGTAAAATTGAACAAAATAATGATACAAATAATTATAGCAGTGTGAAAAATGAAGTGAGCCCCGAAGAACGGTATAATGAAATAACTGCAATAACAGATGATTTTGTTCCAAAAGGTTTTGGAAAAAATGATATCGAACTATCTAACGAAGAGAAAAAAATTCATAAGATCTATAAAGATAATAAAAATAACAATTACACAAAGTCAAAAGTTGATTCTGAATCAGCAGATAAACTATCGTTTAAGTCTTCTACAACGGCTCAAACTGTGGAAGTTATTGATAAACGCGTTGAAGATCCAAACATGACTTCTCAAATTCCAATTTTGCCAATTGAAATTCAGTCAGAAATGTCAACAACAGAAAATAGTGACAAAATGTATCCTAAGACAATATCTCAAGAGACTGAAAAAGAAATATCATCGACATCTTTGCCGACAAAAATTATCAACACGGAAGGAAAAACAACCGAACAAATTCCGATATTGCCAGAAGAATTACAAACGACTATGATAAATAGACAAGAACATCATACAGAAGCAACGTTAGCTGTTATTGAAACGGATAATAAATCTAATGGATTAGTTGCTGCCGGTTATAAAAAGGAAGAAATGAACAAAGAAGAGAATAACTCAGAGTTCAATAGAAATAATTCAACAAATTTGACAGGAATTGTAGATAAAGATTTGATTGAAAAAACTACTATTTATAATTTGCCAAGTGAATCTCCTGTAAAAGATATCATAAAACCAGTCTTCGAATCAATTTCAGATGATACGACACCGCAAAATTTTGAATACAAATATCTTCTTACTACCACTACAGAAAAGTCAGACACATCTAATGATTTTGAAGAGATGACAGAGGACCAATTACGTGTTATTCCTTTAGAAGAAAAAGATACGTATATGTTATCGCGAAAATCAGAAGAGTCAACTAAGATTAAAAAAGAAAAAGAATTGAATTTTAATATGCCAGCTGATAATGAAAATGGAAACAATGTAGATAGAAAGAGCAGTAGAACGGTAGATGATGATAACATTCCAAAACTCATATCGGGAAGTTCATCAGATGTTGATTCAAATGCAGGATTGAAAACTATTTTTATTTCGAACGACTTCAACGGCAGCAAATCAAAAGTAATAATTCCGTCAAGTGAAAAAAAAATTAACTCTACCGCTACAGTGATATACCCAAACTTTATTCCAGTTTCAGAAGAAATAGATGAAAGTGATTATCATTTCACAGAATCGACTCATTCACAACTTTATAATCGTCATAATATTGCTACAGATTTGCCAGAATTGCTGTCGAAAGATGTAAAAAATAATACTGATCAAGACGCAGACCAAGAGCGAGCCGTGAAAGAAACTGCAACCGAATTACTTCAAGCTGTCGAAAGTAGTACTAACAAAACACTTTTAGTAGAGAATTCAGTAACGAAAAATGAGATCGAAGGTAACAGTAGTAAAAATGTAGAAGAAACGACTACGGAAGACAATAAACTGATTGTCAGCTCTACGAGTGAGCCCAGTCAACCGGAATTTCCAGGGATTCCTGTAGCAATTGTAACTTCAGAAGAAGAAATACACAAGCAAATTTTTTTCTCAAAATGCAAAAGCGGTCAATTCCAATGTGTCAACGGAACCTCAAGAGACGGATCTTACTGCGTTGACCTCTCCTCCACGTGTGACTCGGAAAACGATTGTTCTGACGGATCAGACGAATTTGATTGTGAAAAAGAAGGTTGTCCAGGAAACTTCCAATGTGCGAGTGGTCAATGTCTGAAACGACATCTCGTTTGCAATGGGATTTCCGATTGCGACGACGGCACCGACGAACGGGAATGTTCGAATTGGAAGTGCCACTCTGACGAATTCCAGTGCCCTAAAGGTACGCACCGAATTCCTTTCCACCCATCTTTGACTTCAAGCCTTCAATTGGCAGGCTGATATTTGAAATTTTCCTTTACAGGAAGGTGCATTCCAGTTTTATGGCAATGTGATGGTCGGCCGGATTGCGAAAATCACGCCGACGAGTACTCGTGTTCGGAAAGCTGTGGCAACGACGAGTACCTGTGTCCTACGGAAAAATGGTGCATACCTCAAACTTGGCGTTGCAATGATGTAACTGAATGTGTGAATGGAGAAGATGAAAAGTTGTGTGAGTGTGCCGTGGACCAGGTCAAATGTGAAACTGGAGGCTGTATTCCTGCTGAACAATTCTGTGATGGAGTTGAAAACTGTCCTGATCGATCGGATGAATGGAGCTGCCTCAGCGGTTTCAACAGAAATTCATCCATCAGTACTGAAGTTGACAAAGAAAATAAAGAGAATGAATTCTCGACCAAGAGTAGTCCTATAATGATAAGGTAAACGTGATTTCTTTTCACGAGAATGTTGAAAAATTTACAAAGCGATTCATTTAATTTTCATGATCTCTACTTCAGGCAATCGAACGGAGAGCAAAGGTATATTTGTTCTGAGGGGTGGACAGATGCATTCAGCGATCAATACTGCAGAAGCTTAGGATTTGCCGCGGCAGAATCGACGCAGTTTACGGAAGTAGGAACTGACAAAAAACTCCTTCAACTGATGACGAAGGCCAATCCCAACTCATCGATCGTTCTGAACTTATCAAAAACAGATTCTTGCAATTCGAGTAAAGTTGTAGAAGTGTCTTGTCAAGAATTTTCATGTAGATCCCATGAGAGTGTCGGTCCCACGGCAAGATTAGTTGGAGGAACACCAACAACTGAAGGACAATGGTCCAGCGTGGCGCTACTAAAAGAACCAAAATATGGAACTTCATGCACGGCTAGTATCCTTAGTCCGATGCATGCTTTGGCAAGCTATTCTTGCATATATAGGTAAATATTTAATTCTGAATATATATAGGAGAAGTTCTCGGATTTCTAAAAACTAAAAAACGTTTTCGTTTCAGTAATAGACAAAGTGGCGGATGGCAGCTATTTGTTGGCGGAAATCTGTTGAAGCCAAACAAAGTCAAAAATATCGTGCCTTATCCTCAAGTCAAATATAATCAATTTTTGTATGACAATGACATTGTGCTCGTTGAACTGGCTGAACCTTTAGTATTTTCAAGGAACGTCAGTGCTGCATGCTTGCCAAATCAATCGTTCCAGGTTATTAAACAGATCTACTAGCTTCTAGAATTAATCTTAGTAAAATATATAATGAAAAAAAAAAATTTATTTTTTACAGCCTCCGCAGCTGTGTGTCACGGTTGGTTGGGGATTCCCTGTGAATGGAGAAATAGACTTGCAGCAATATCTCAAATTTTTACCGGTACCGACCTATAATTCAGAAGAATGTAATGCAACAAGCCATTATGCAGGTTTTATTACGAAAAATAATATTTGTGCCGGCTTTACCGACACAGATAAGGGGCCATGCTATGTAATTATTTTTTTTCATTCATTGATAATCATATGATCAACGCCACTGCGCATACGTTATGCTAAATTATTTGATTTTAGAATGACGAGGGAGCGCCATTAATGTGCGTCAGTGAAATTGGCAGGTGGGAAATTCAAGGTTTACTCAGCCATCATAGTAGATGTTCAAGAGGACATCCTTCAATATATTCAAGCCTGGCACCAGCTCTTTCCTGGTTAAGGAATTTGGTGCCAGCATTACAGGCACATTATTGAAACCAGAAACCATGAAAATATTGATCTACTTTTTGGAAAGCTATAAATCTTTGATAGTAAATTATTCCTTCGCATTTGCAAAGAGAAAGAAAATTATGGGATAATTTTGGATTGTTTTATAACAGTATACTACAAAATTAAAATCTTTCAATTCTCAAGTGCCAAAACTTTATTGTTATTGTTGATACTTTGAAAATCAAAAGAAAATCTTTGATTATATATAAAATGATTACTTTTAAATGATGTAGCAATTAGAAACATTGCAAAGTATTCTTATGCTTTGGCAAAAACTTGTAAATAATGTATAAAATTATAATAACTAGATTCAAGAGAATATATTTTATATTGATTGTCTATGCATTTAAAATCGTACTTAATTCTATAGCAAGAAAAATAAGCAGTTGCAAATTATATGAAAAATAATGTTTTAAAAAACAAGTTTTAATAATATAATATTGATATAGTACATGTAAATAATAATATTAGTCTTATCATAAAATAAATTGTTATATCAAAGTTATGTAAAATAAGATCTAATGTACATGTATAGTCATTATTATGATTGCAAGTATTTTATTACAAATGAAAATATAGTTATTTAAGTTATAAATAAAAATGTAGTTGTTTAAGTTAACTGCATTTAATTAAAAAATATTGTTGTAATAAACTCTTATTCTTATGTATAATATCGAGTTATTTAATCAATTGCTTTTTTTGGCTCAACAGCTTTTTCTAAAGCAGTTACTTTTGCATCCATATCAATTAATGTTTTAGAAATATTGGTGATGATATCATTATACCTAGAAATCATATTACGGGTATCACTATTCACAATTTCAGCTCGTTTGCCTAGTTCAATATACTTCAATGATAAATTATGTAGTTTTTCAGAGAGTTCTGGTAAATTCTTGAATGAATCACTTTCTAAAACTGGCGCAAGTTCTTTCAATTTAATGAGCTTTATAGCATTTTCTTTTATTTCAGCTTGCATTGCTTCAATATATTCTAATTTCACATCAGTTTGCACCTCTGTAGGTTCAAAATCTGATTCAATATAACTTTCAATTTCAGGTAGCCTTTGGATTAATGTATTGATTTTGTCTCTGCCAGACAAGGCAGATGATATTAGGGTATTTGCATGAGAAAGACTATCTATAACACTACTTTCAGGAACAGAGTCCATATTAACCTTTTCTTCCAAACCAAAAAGTTTCTTCTCCAATTCCGCAATCCTTTGTTCCAATACTTTTTCAACATTTTCACTATAAAATCAATAAACGTACACAAGATATTTTGTTTCACTAAAAAATTAATGTAGTTGTTGAGACTTACTTCATTTTTTAAGATTTTTGATTATTACTAACCAATAATAATCAATAAATATATTATATACTATTTTAAAAGTCGTATATTTTAAAAGTTCTGAATACAGTTGATTATAAAATAATTGAATCTTCAATGAATTCCATAATAACCATTTGCATCTTATATGTTTAATTTGGACTACTGATTATAGATTTATAGTGTCCATCTAGCAGCTGATCGACGCAGCTCAACCTGAAGTTCGTAGCAGAAAACTGTGTGTGGATTGTGTAATCGAATAAATAGCCAACATGGCGGAGAGCGGCAAATAAAAAATTTTTGCTCAATATAAGGAATTACTAATGATTCTTTTTAAGAAACAAATTGAAAATTCATTTGTTGTAATTGTTTGAAGGTTTGTAGGAAAATTTATTTCGAAATAAGCAAGACGAATACTTTTTTTAAATTTTGAGTAAGCGAGAAATCATCGAGTCATTAATACAATTCGAATATTTCTTGCGTTATGAATTTGAAAGTCTAAGGTGAATTGAATGTTATATTATTATTCTTATAAATTGTTCCAAAGAAGCATTGAAGAACTCTAAACTGAATTGTATATTATAGTGTGAAGCAAATATTTGAGAACTCAGTGAGAGTCGCAGAGAGCCGTAAAGAAACACTTTGGGGAACCATCCATAAAACTATAAACATGGGCCCCGACAGCTGCTGCAGCTGGGCAACGTCTACTTTTCAGATTTCTGAGACTTTAGCCCGAACATATTGTGGCAATGTGTTGTTGCCTGCACACCGTAATACGACGTTTCGGTAAATCTTACATATCTTAGCTGGCAGATATTTTTGTATTCTTTGCTGCTATTTCGCGAGAAGAAGAGAGCCAAGAAAGCCCATTGTGTTATATGAATAAAAGCGTCTTAGGTGAGGGAAAGAGTATGTAACAGAGCGAAGGGAAGAGAATGTAGTAAGTGTACACACTCGAAATACAACAGCAGCAGACAGTGTACTCGATCAGGAGAGTGCGTGCCATGCTGCTGGAGGGGAACAGAAACTGTATAGGTCATTTGCACTCTCTTTTCGGCACGTCCGCTTACGTTATACAGTGCTCACAATTTCGATATGAAATCGTAATCGTTTCAGCGAAACATGAATGAAAAATAATTTTCAAGGGTAATTTTCTTTAGATATACACTAGTAAAAACTAATTACAAGCACACGGATCTTAAAGCGAAATCAAAAGATTCAGTAGCTGTCGCGATATGAATTGGAGCTTACAAGCGTTCCTTTGAACTTAGGCTGAAATAAATTTGAAGAAAACATTCAAAACATTAAAGCTCAGGCGACGATGGAGAGGGGGGTGTTCGAGAGCATACAGAATTGAGCGTACAAGGGGCCGTGGCACGCACATTGCACGTACACTTTAAGCATAGTTCCTCTCTCTCTTTCTCCCCCCCCCCCTCTCACTCCACTGCTCTTGTCGTCGGCTCCCCATTGCGCTTGGCTCTCTCGAGTGCGTACTATACCGTCAGTCTGGCGACTGCTGCCAGTAATAACAGGGTGTACTGGTCTCTCTTATCACGGCGTCGTCTTTCTCTTTTGTCGCAAGTTTCAACAGCGGATTTAACTCTTAGTGTAGCTCAGCAGGGCATATATATATTATCATGGCCGACGGCGCGGAGGCAGCTTCGGCCTTATTAGAGGATCATCGGAGAAGTAGCGGCTGAGGATGACGGAGGATGCAGGACAGGAATGAGCTGCACGCGATGAGGGACTCATGTACGAGGAAGCTCAGGGCGATCGGTGGCGTCTGCGTGCTGCTTGCCATCGCCGGTATATTCTACGTCGGATTCTTTTGTCCGGATCATACGTGTGCCCTCAGCGGCCCTAAGGAAACAGCTAGGCTTGCGGAACCTCTTCTGTCGGGTGAGATTTTCTCGCGGCGGATGTGCTCCGTCAGTACAATTACGATTGGGTTACGCGAACAATATCTTATCCGCTGTTGTAAGCAGAAACTTACAAATTTTTCAATGATTGGACTAATTTTTCTCTTGCTGCTTTTTTCCTATCCTATCTTATTTTGCGATAAAAGCACATCATATAAACATTTATTTATTTTTACAATCAAGATTGTACCATATAGAACTGAGCAGTACTTAATTGTACCTATAAAATCCAAATTTGATTTTCAATTGGATATGTGAGGTGCAAAGCCAATACATTTGTTGTATGGTTATTGAAGTTTTTGTTGATTTGTAGGTAACTCTCTTGGCCTAGGATCTAATTCGCTTGAATTAGAGAAGAAGAATTTTTTACCCGTACATCCTGCTTTCAAACTACAGAGTATTCAAGGAAGTCTTGGTTATAATGATGTCTTTCTAAATGACTCCTTTCAATTTGATATCAATGCGAATGATGTCATGGTTTTTCTGCATATCCAGAAGACTGGTGGGTTTAGTTCTTTCTAATTGTGCTAAATTGATTGAAAGAATACCAATACTAATTTTAACGATACAGTCACCACTGTATCTATAGCTGTTAAGTTCAGAATTGTAAATATTTTTAACTTAAACAGTTTATACTCTCTATTCATAACAGTAAAACATTTACATGGCATATTTACAAAATGCACTGTTATATGCCAATCAAATATTTACATTACTTTTCCGATAAGATTAGTAATTTTTATGTATTATTTATTTAAGTAAATGTTCAAGCAACATTGTACCTATCTTTTTTTCTGACTTCAACAACAATATAGAAAAGAGTTACGTTCCATTTTTGTTGGTTTATTACTAAATTTGTAATTTAGTACTTATCTGTACAGATATTTTATGACCAATTTTTCAGAACATTTTGAACTTCTTGTTCTTGACAGTTTAAATTTAAAAGATTATAACTAATTGAATGTTTATTATTCCACAGGTGGCACTTTATTTGGTAAACATTTAGTTCGGGATCTTGATCTTCAAAGACCATGTTCATGTCAAAGGCGACGAAAGCGTTGCTTTTGTTTCCGTCCAAATCGAAATGAAAATTGGCTATTCTCGAGATACTCCACTGGATGGAAGTGTGGATTACATGCCGATTGGACAGAATTAACAAGTTGTGTTGATTCTGAGCTGAACAAAATTGAGGGAAATAACGTTAAACGAAGATATTTTTATGTAACTATCATTCGAAACCCCGTAGCGAGGTATCTGTCTGAATTTAGACATGTGCAAAGAGGAGCTACATGGAAGGGTGCTCGGCACTGGTGCGGAGGTATACAGGCGAACATACCGCAGTGTTACTTTAGCCCTAATTGGAAAGGAGTGACTCTAGAAGAGGTAAAACATGTTGCTAGTAGCATCCTATAATTCATTATAAATATTGATAACTAACAGTACACGAATTATTCCAGTTCATGGCTTGTCCCCACAATTTGGCAAACAATCGACAAACTAGAATGTTAGCAGACTTGTCTCTTGTTGGTTGTTACAACTCATCGCTTAATAATATAGACCATGATCGAATAATGTTAGCTAGTGCAAAACGTAATCTCAAGTATATGCCGTTCTTCATGCTCACAGAATATCAAAAGGTAAGATTTCTAGTATATTTGAAAATTTATATTATTTTGTTTATATAACTCGCGTTTTTATTTTCCCAAGCTCACAAGACGCACGTCCATTTAACTATTCCTTTTCAAGAAAGCACTACTTTTAAAATAAGCATTTAATATAAACATTTACGTAAACTCGTGATACCATATACACGCATAGTCTATGGTTTTTTTCGCTATATTGGCTTTCTCCCCTTCTTTGTATATTTATCTTGTTAGAGTTCACTACATCACGGTATGATCACGTGTATTTCTCAAGGCGTTTCAACTTAAATAAACAAGTTCCAATGTCTGATTTAGTATTTCATGTTATTTACAATACTCTTTAATCAAAGATCAAGAACAAGAGAGAAAAAAACCGAGAGATAGCGAATGAAGATTTGCGTGGAATCTCGTTTGCAATTATTAATTTTTTTTAAGAAAAAGTGTTGAAAAAGCTTGAATAATCAGCGTGACTGAATGTAAATATTAATCTGAAAATTCAAATTCTATTATCAGGTCGGACAATACTCATTCGAAGAAACCTTCGCAATGAGATTTGCTGTTCCATTTGAACAGCATAATGCAACATTAAGTGCTGCCACGATGGCAACTCTCACCCCCGAGCAACTAGATGCTGTTAGAAGGCTCAATAAGCTAGATATCGAACTGTACGAATTTGCAACCAATCTCGCATTTCAAAGGTTTCGTCGTTTGAGAGATCGTGATCCGTATTTCGTTCAACGTTTCCAGCATCTTGGGGAGCTACCATCAAGACAAAGTGTGACTGAATTTAATTGGGATTCAGTGATAGAGGACACAACGGATATTGATTAGCTTTCAAAAGCTAAGCACGAAACGTATGTTTGCTTTCTAACAAACGCAGAAATCGCAATTAAGGTATTACTTATGTGAAGTATTCACTTTTAAACTTTACTTTACAATCAAGTTTTACCCTTTTGTTTGCATGATCCAGTGCTGTACAGTTTGTTTTCTTGTTTCTGCTTTTAATGAAAGAACACTTCTTTTTCTTCCTGTTTAATTATCCTATATTTTTTTGCCGAAAATCTATGCGCCGACTCGGTCCACTCTGAAAAAATGTTCATTCTCATGAAATTTTTAGTAAAATATGCCAACAGCTTTATCACTGAAATCAAAGAAAGTTAATTATAAAAAACAGGCCCAATTTTCATTACTTACATTATGACTGTTGTGTAGACAAGTTAATAAGGATGACAGTTTTATAATTTGATAACTTGCAATATTTTCATCAAAGTTCTTCCATTTGTGCGCACACATGTTTGGTTTTAGATGAGTATTTTTTATGATTTTAAAATTTTTTTTATATCTTTTGAATGTTTCATAAATATTTATACTACTCTGAAGAGAAGCATATCTATACAAATTTTATATTAGCTTGTCTTCAATTAATACAGATGACTACCGTTATCTTTTAACATCTAGCAGTGCCATTCTTTTCATCTCTATTTTTTTCAAAAACATTATTACTGAATTTTTTCTTTTATAAATTAGTTAATGAAAGATTAGAAATTAAGACCCAACTTTCATATTTGTTCACATTGTAATATGTGATAGTGTAAATGAAAGTTAGAAAAGTGGAAAAATTGTGATATATATAAACTACTTTCAAGTACTTTATCTCCAAAGGTCTAACTGCTAATCAAAAAGCAGTAATTTAAGAGACAAAACAAATAATGTGACTCAATATTAATGTACATACACATGTCTTGATGGGCGACTTTTGAATAATTCTGCTCTTCCAAAATAAAATTTTACTGTCAAATCTGTTATAATTCATATTAACAGTTCGTATAAGTAGTACATCTATCTTTTTGTATCGACTAAATTTTAATATTCTGAGTGTGCATGTTAAAATGCATCATGGATCATAGATGCACTTGATTATTTTATTATGTGTATTTATAATAGGGGCGTACAAAGATCTCATAATTGTAAACATTATTGTACATATTAACGTTTAATAATAGGTATTTACCTAACTTTTTTCTTAAAAGTCATTACAGCTTCAATTTACTTCATGAGTTTTTTTAAAGAGTAGTCTGTATTTATATTTTCAGACTATAACATTTGTATATTCTTAAAATAACATGACTTCTAAAGCAACATAGAATTAATAATTATAAATTAATCAGAACTCTTATTTCATTGTTAAAGTAAAGATACGATCAAAATACAAAAAGTATTAATTATCTTAAGTGGATTATTGAAATTTGAGATTTTATATTTAAAATTTGCTTAATTTAAAAAAATATATTTTAGGAAAATGTAATAATCCTATGTGGAAGCTTTAAAATATTTAAAATATATAAGAAAAATAAATTTTTAAAAGCCTAAAACCTTACATAAAATTCAAGCTGTATTCAGCATAAGGAAAATAGTTAACTCTCAGCAATAAACGTTGATATGTGCAATAACTATAGGTTACCACAGTAGTTATTTCATACTTTGAGTACATAATTTACTGTTATGTAACTCGTCATTTATGGAAGATCATATAAAAACAGAATAATCAAATATGTCAATCAGGCGCATACATGTAATTTAATTTTTTGTTAAAAAAGTGTGATTTCACTTTTCATAAAAAAAAATAATGTAGCTTACTTATAAACGCTAATGTTATTAACAATTACTAGTAATTGAGCAATAATATTCTCAATACATTTATCTTTATTTAAAAATTCATTTTCTGAACTGGGGTGCAAATGAAATTACAATAATTTATTATTTCTCAACTTATAAATCATTTTCGTATTTGAAAATGTTGATATATTTTTTAAATGATTGATCATGTTCTTTAAACTGAAGGTCATCATCACTCAATGTTCAATGATATTTTATCCTATGTTAAAGATATTTATAATCTTAAGGACCAAAGATTTCTTACATTAATGTAAGCTGTATGAAAGTTTACACATACAATTATGACTGCAATGTTAAAACTTTTTTTATAAAATCATTAGCTTTTAAGTTAACTTACAAAATCACAAACCTTGTGAATTAGAATATTTCATCGGTTTAATGAAAGTAAATTGTATGTTGTGCATATAATATAAGTTGAACAAGTTTTAAACCTTTTTAATAGTGCCATAACGAAATCCAAGGTTTATTGAAAAATTAAAAAAAGACAACTGCAATGTCTAAAATTTTATAAAGTGTATCTATGTAAGTGTACTCGTAGGAAAAAATGTCCAAACAAAAGTATCCTTGTTACTTTTTATAAATAAAAGTTCGTATTTGTTAATATAATGTGTTACGGTGGTAAAATTTGTTAATTATATACAACAAAACCGTTTTTTCGACAGTGTGTTGCACTTTAGACTAGATGTCTATGCATTAGGGAATGTATAATATAAGAAAGTCAAAATATCAAATAAATTTTCAACGAACCCATGACATATGCCTAATAAAGCGAACAAAAGGTCTAATCCTTTTATATGTAGTTTAAATGATTGTAAATAATGTAATGAGTAGATTTAAGTATTGCTAAATTATTGGAAATAAAAAAAATTCATATTTAAATTGTATACACAAGTATATTTAAGATTCCAGTATACTGCTATTATAAAAATATATCATAATTGTAATACAATGCAGCTTGACAAAAAGCTTGCTCAATTAGTTATGTAAATATTAATAAATCTTGAGTGCCCTCAAGAAATTTCATTTAACATCCTGTGTTATCATTGTATTTTCATATTTTACTCTAGTAAAAATAATCTTTCATTTTACACGTTAGAGATATTTAGACAAATATTTTGTATACACACTGATTTTACATATGTTATGCAATAATACTTAAACTATAATAAGTTTACGTTTGCTATTTCATGTAATTGCTAAAAATTTGTTTATTACTATATCAACACTGCAATACTAAATGGAAAGGAACTTCATAAAGTCTTGGTACAACTTCAAAACAGTTCTGATGATGCAATCATTGAATAAGTTTAGCTCTTCTGTATTGATCATTGTTTGAGCTTAAACTAATGAATATTAATTGCATTTGGTGAACATACACAGATGATTAGTTAAGAGGAATGTGGCCTGAGAAAATGCACTTATATAATGCACTCATATATGTACACTAAAGTAAAGATTGTTCCAACATAATTTTTTCAAAACCCATTGGTGGATTGTGTGCGAAATTTTCTAAAATAAAATCTAGTATAGCTCCATCATCAACTAAAATAGTGATAAAACTGTTATGCTATTTTATCAGTCTAAATTTATATGTTTAATAACTCTTACACATTACCATAAAGTATAGGATAAGTTGTTCCCTTCACTCCCATGACTGGAGCTTCTATAGATTTTCCATTCAAATAAAAGTTTAATTCTATATGGTCGTAAGATACACCCTGTTATCAAAAACAATTAAAATGATTTTTATAATAATGAAATATAACAGTTACAAGAGACAGACTTACAATAATGTCTCCTTCTTGAGCTGGATCTTCAATTTTATGTAATTCTTGTTTATTATGTCTAATAATTCCATCGGAGTTTAAAGCCCAGCTTTCAACGTCCATTCCACCAATAGATCCCTCAAGATTGGTGGATCTTGTTGCAATGCCTACACCCCATATGCCTTCTTGTTGTATTTTTACTTCAAAGTAGCTTTTACTTTGTACTAAAGGAGCGTTACCCAGCACTCCACCTTTACCGCAGACTCTACTGTAATTTTTTACTACAACAACATTTTGCCCTAAAAATAAAAAATGTTAAATAAATAAATAATAAACAATAACTTGTTATTTAGTTTATGAAAGCTTAATTATCTTAACAGTAATAAAAATAATTATATTAACTAATGATTCAAATTGAATTTGATTAAAATGCATTTATTATTGAAAATATATGTTATTTTTACCCATATGATTTGGATCTAATGCAATAATATTTTCTTCTTTTTTTGGTTCATTGTGCACAGCAGAAAGGCTGAAATTTTCAAAACAATTCCGAAAACAAGCAAACATCTTGTTTTTCAAGTCTTGACACTCTTCGATTTCTTTTTCCAAATCATACTCCGTTCTAAATTTACAAAAATTTACTATCTTAAGTAGCACAAGATTCTAACCATCTTCAAAGTGGTCAAATTTATAAAAAAAATTTAGTCAACAATCACAGCAGTGTCTACAACTCGACTGATGAAGTTGTCTTGACAAGATTGCTTGCGGATGTATAGAAGTAATAATACGAATATATACTGTAGGTAGGAATAGTGGGAGTGCGGGACGTGCGTAATATAAGGAAAATGGCTTCCGCACACACTCACGCAATCCTGACAATCGATAATAAGCGGCAACCAATAATTCCGTCTTGTTAGAAACTTATGTTTTATTGATGAATAATTTTAACCAAAGTTGTGCGGAAATTATACTTTTTTAACGTAAGTATGCATATATTGAAATTTCTTTCTTATATATTCGTTTTATATTTTTAGTTTCATCTTTATCTGAATTTATTTTATCAAATCTTTATCAGCTTTTGATTTAGATAAAGTTACAAGTATTTTAAATAAAATTTGGGAGGATATATATACAGTAATAATACAAATTTATTAAGTGGGTTTTTTTTATTAATAGTAATATGTTAATGTAAAAATTTAGATTCTGCTTGGGTACAGCATCTGTAACAGAACAAAATGTTTATTTAATTTATATGGTAATCAATATTTAAAACTTATATTCATAGAAGCAGCTTAAAATAATTTTATTTTCTGCATATAAATGACTAAAAATAAATAAACTAATAAAGATAGAAGAGAGGTTCAGCTTATTTTGAAAAAGAATTCTGTTTGAATACTATTAATAATGTACTGATTTGATAGTTTTAGTAAAATATTTCATTACTTACAATTCTGATGCGGTGTCCCATAGCCTTAGCTGGTAAATTTCTCTTGAATTTGGCGCGCACTGATCCACTAGTACCATGAGGACGGGTAACTTTACCCCAGATAGCTCTGACCTTTGTTTTCTTAGTAGTGTTGCCGGGAACTGGGGTCTTGTTCTTAGCCTGCAAATATTAAGAAATTATCATATTTTATAACTCAATTTAATTTTTAAGCTGTCGCATACTAAGTTGCATTAAATTATAGATAAATTATAAAGAAATAAATATATAGAAAAGTAAACAATCTTGATTATCAATTGTCCAGTCATATGATCAGATTGACTGTGAATTAGTGAAGTTAGCATATAGATAGATGTTGATTGTTGATATATACAGATAAATGTCGTACAGCTATATAAATTTGAATAATCGCTTGGCATACCTTGTACACATACACGCATCGCTTGCCAATGTAGAAGTCAGAATCATTTTTTGTTCTGGCACCTTCAACTTTGAGAAGAGCTGTGTGTTCGTGCTGGTTGCGTAGACCTCTTTTATAACCAGTGAAGATAGCTTTAGCGTAAAGTCGACCGTGTCTCTTAAAGGGCCTTTTCTTTAAGGGAACAGCCTCTGTTGGTTTTTCCTTGGACTTCTTGTCCTTAGGAGTTTTAGACTTGTCTTTTTTCCCTTCACCTTTGTCCGTCATTTCAGTTTCTAAAAATACAATATGACAATAAAAGTTTCTTAATTATTTATACTTTCTTATAAAAATTAAGGAATATCTTTTAAAATTCCATTTGATTGAAGGTTATGTACGCATGTAAACAGGTTAAGATCAATATAGCGGTAAGTGTATATATGTGAAAAATTGCACAGAAATGTTCTAAGCATAACAATTATGATTTTGCACGTATAAGTAGCGTCTTAAACGATAAGTATCACAACAATGCATTGACTTTTTCAATCTGCAGATTCGATTTGATCAAGTATTGGAAGAACACATGAAACACAGGGTTCGCAATCCATAATAATCACAGTGTAGTTAACAAAATCACCACATGAAAATCTAAAGGAGTCATACAATAAAGACCAGTTTTTAATAGAACATTATATTTATAAATTTTTTCGCAATATATACACGTAATTTTATGAAAAATTATTACGTTACCCGATTTATGAAACGAACCTTACTTGTACCGCGGATGGAAAGAAGCAGAAAACAATGGGTCCCTCTGGTGCTGAATTGTGTCACTAAGCAAACCCACCGCTGCTAGCGCGCCAATAGTAATCGATAATGCCGAAAGCATGCCGGCTCGTCTTATCAGCCCGTAATAAGAAAATGCCTTGACTGAATTTACTGTTTTTTGGTAAATTATCGATGTCGAACGATCTGGAGAGGTGCATTTCTCCAAGATGACGCGCAAGTGAGTGTCGCCCACGAGTTTTCTCGAGTTGAAAGGTTAAGCGCGATCGTCAAGTTAATATTCACAGCGTTTCGCTCGAAAGCTCGATTGTGAAAAAGCACGCGCGGCGTAAACACTCATCCGCAGCGCGGAACGGCAAAGGGAAAGAAAAAGCCTGGCGCGTGCTCGTGCGAAAAATTGTCCGTCAACCGCTGGCGGTCAAATCGAAACAAAACGTCGCACAGGGAGAGACGTCAATCAAACGGCAAACGAAATTCCCGTACAATTGACGTGCGTTATAAATATATAAGCGCGCGCGCGCGTGTGTGTGTATATATATATATATATATATATATATATATATAGAGAGAGAGAGAGAGAGAGAGAGAGAGAGAGAGAGAGAGAGAGAGAGAGAGAGAGAGGGAGAGGTAGAACAAAAGAAAGAGCGCGCACGAATTTTTAGAGTGCCGGGCGGTGCGTCGTTAGAGCGCCAGATTTTCCGGTGCGCGGCGCTGCTAACGACGTTTCGTTGCGCCTGCCGCCCGAAAAATCGTTTCGCGTCAACTCTCGTTACTCTCCTGGGGATTCGCCCTTGGCTCTCCTCGTTACGATCTCAATATTCTATACATATAACGAGAAGACATTGTGCGCGCGTTCTGTCGCATTTTTTCAGTCGATAATTAAATATCGCGGAGCCCGGTGATTATTAATTTTTGTTCTTTTCATTGGTCACCTGGCTAAATTGACTTGTTCTCGCAGCATTGTCGCTGCGTTGTACGCAATGTGGAAAAAAAAAACAAATACGCAGGTACGCGCGCGCGCGACAAAACCACGGCTAATTGAAACAAACGTCGTTTGATGTGGCAGCGTGACATAAGCCATCAATATTTATTACTGCGTGTAATTTGCGCCGATTTATTCCAAGTAAATAGCATCATTCATATGGCAGCCAATCGCGAGGCATCAATATTAATTGGACAGTCAGTGATCCAGGCCTATTAGTCTTCATTGGCGCGGCGCGGCGCCGTACGGATGCAGATCGCCAGTGAAATAGCGTCGCGGGTTGATAATACGTCTCAGCGGCGAGCGATCGAGCTTTCAAGATTGGGAGAGCCGCAAGTAAACAAGCCTCGCGCATCCGGGCGAGAGGCTAATTGGTGCACGTCGAAGCAGCCATCGTCGACGTACAGCGGCCTCATCCATCTTCCACGAAGCAGCGGCAGCAGCGAGCGATATCCGCGTCGGCGTACATGACCGACGGCGACGTTACAAGCCGCGCGCCTCGTCGTCGTATTACGTTTTTCTCTGCCTGCGACGCCTTCGGAATGCTGCAGCTTACGCGCGTAGCTGCTACGTGACGAGTCGCGGCGCCGCCGCGAGACCAAGGCAATATTGAAAATTTGTTTTTGATGCCGCTCCAGCAATGCGTCTCCGCAATCTGCTTGCATATTTGTGCAGAAAATATTGAGAGTCGATTAGGTCGTGATTTCCATTCCAGAACTTTAATCCTCTTAGTCTACTCGAATTTCTTCGTAGCAACTTGCAATGTTTAGGGCTTTACAACTTTTTTCAGATTCAGAATATTCAGATAGCATGCGCACGTTTCAAAGTCGCGTCGTCATCCAAAATATTGTCTTCTAAAATAGCAGACATTCTGGTGTGTCGTATAATTCGGACTATTTTGTTAACGGTATTTCGTAAATATAATCATAGGCAATAATTGTTACAACCATGCTCAACGTATTGCAAGTCTATTTAACCGCTACATCGCAATTTTTATACTCATATGAGCAGTTCCGGCAAAAAATTCGCGAAAGTTTAAGAATATCCACATTGCGCGCATGTTTTACGATGGCCAAAATAAAATACCAAAAAGGATTACGTTCATCCCACGGCATGCTTGTGACACCGTTTCTCGTTCACGGGAGTGCTATAAATCACTCGACAAATCTATATTTGTTTAAAATTAATTTTGTAAAAGAACGAACGTGATCACATTGATCTTAAACATTTCAAAAGTCATATATTGGATTATTTTGTAATATTAATAAAATTGCAAAGCTGAGGTGTTGGAATGAGATTTGTGAGTTTTCAAAGCTGGACGTGCAGGAATCGAAGTTTCAATTAGAAAATGAAACGAGACACACCATTACCGACGGATTTTGCCTCGTAGAATTTGATTCTTCGTCGAGATGAACGTTATCTCTTTTGCTTTTGTTCTTTATTAAACTCTAAATTATGACGAGAAAAGCATAGAAACTTAGGTTTCCGTTGTTATTAATGTGTCAGTGCTTTCGCGTGATCTTAATAGTTTCATAGATGTGGCTGACGAGTCCAAATATCATATAGCTTTATCGCAGACGTATTTATTCGTCGTAACAAAGCCCGGCGCTCGTCTCGACGACTTGCTCCGCAGAGTACACGCGCGCGCCGTTTAGCGAGCTTCCTTGAAATGGCACTTCCGGGAGAAAAAAAAAACAATCGCAGGCGTTGCGCTGAATCGTCGCGCGTAAGCTCGGGAATAAACATTTAAACGTGTAAAGGCCGTCATATCCGGTTGAAAATGAAGTATAAAGCGTCGAAGAAAAAAAAGGAAAGAAAGAAGCAAGCCAGCGTCACATCGAGATACGTCTCGGGGGAGCGCCGTTTATTGGGGCGACGTGCTCCGCGGCAATTTTATTCAATGCAAAGTCGCATCCCCGTGACAGCCACTCCGCGAGATACCGGCGGCGCGGTAGGGCGAAGGAGGGGCGGGCACGCTGGATCTGCAATTGCGGCGCGGGTATATCTGCGCGAGTCCACATTATGCGCGCACGTAACCGAGTGGCTCAAGATGTCGCGGGACTCGGCGCTTTAAATGCCGGGGTGCCGCGCGTATTGTATTAATATCGCGCGCGCGGCGCACTCGGAAGGCGCGAGCTCGTTGCGCGTCTCTGCTCGCGACTTGATAAGAGCATTGTGCCGAAGTAGCTGTTGTCGCATTGATTTAATAAACGAATCCCATCGGCGAGGGGGGGGGGGTATCTTTCCCCTCGGCGCGCACTTTTTCATTAGTAGTTCGCGAGCCGCGCGCGAGGAAATTCATTTTCTGCTCGAAACTTCCGCTGCGCGCGTGGGAATGCCGAGGCGTCCTACTGCTTGAATTATTCAGACTATTCCGCGGTGCGCGCGCTCGCCTAGCCGGAGAAAGATGAAGCTGGGGTGGGGCAGGCGGCGAGGAAAGAGATTGCGAGCGATCGGTAAAAACGACGAGGTGAAAAAGGGAGCAGCTGCGGGCGAGGGTCGGAGTTGGCCAGCCGAGCTCGGTGGAATTGGAAGCGAGCCCCGATTATTAGCGTCCGCCGCGCGACACAGCTGCGGTCAATATTGAGTAGCTCTATTAACGGAGTTGTCAATATGTTTGCCGCTAGCCGCGCTGATTTTCTCTGATAATTAGCCGCGATTAAGCTGTAATTCGATTTTTCTATTTGGCCTCTCGGTTTAATAGTCCGCCGCGGGGCTCGCTATTTGCATTTGGCCCCGAACTAGCGTGTAGCGCCGGTACACCTTGCGCGCGTGCTGTATATACGACGATTAACCGCTGCGCGCGTGCATGCGATGCAGCATGCCGCGTAAACGCCGAGTGCTCGCATGTCAATGAGACGACGAGCGCTAGGGCAAACACACGCGATATATGTGTATTATTATTTCGATTTCCATCCCAGCAATTTCGTCGCAACGAGCAGGCTCTCTACGTTGCAAGCTGCTCGATTAGCGAGATTAAAAGTGTAGATTCGAGATCGTTCGAGACAATCGCCATGGAGCTTGTGTCCGCGTGTACTACGCTCGATCTGCCACCTGCGTGCTATATGGAATATTCGCGTGCTCGCTTGTCGTGCAAATGAATTTCGGAGCTGCGTGTCGCTTTTACGTACCAACCTCACGTCGAGCGAGCTCTGCGTGAAGCTTCGTGACACCGTAGAAAATAGAACATGGATAAAATTAAAACATTCGCTCTCCAGTCGACTGCTACTACCCGACTAATTCGCTTAATTTCTCTCTCTCCCTCTCTCTTCATACTCTTGGCAGTAGATACTTCAGTTATACAGCACTTCTGGATTTTCGGCACAAAGAGGTGTTTTATTACAGGCGTCTGTATGAGATACGCGTTGGACCTGGGGGAACGACTTTTCAAATTATTCCTCAATATATTATCATTTTAACGATGCATTCCAATTTTATTTCGCCCGATTGAGTCAGCAGTAACTATATTATTAAAATTGCACGATTTTCGAAAAGGTTTTCGGTGTAACGAAGAGAACTCGTTTGAAATGCACTCGGCAAAACGAGTAACTTGATGAGCAACAAGGGTATGGCCGTCGGTTTAGCGTCGAGCAATGCTTAAACAGAGACGAGCGACGCATATATACAGTTGGACGATGGCGGAAGTTGGACTTTCGATTTGAGAGTAGCGCCGCGTCAGAGGCAATTGATACGAGTGCGAGGTGCAGGTGCAAGATGCGCACGGAAAACTGAAAATAAAATCGGTTGGGAAAAGGTCGCTTATAGATTTTACGCGAAATACCTTTGCCAGGCATAAATATGTAGCGCAGCAGACGACTCTTGCGCTCGCTCGTGCGCTCGCGGTTGCCCGATACATACTTTATACATAGCGGAGCGCAGGATTTATGATGGCATTCGAGCAGATTTCCGCGGTGGATTTTCACCGAGCGACTCGTATATTGCAGTTTATACGTGCGCCTCCATGTATATCAGTCCGTTATGACTCGCGGCGCCTAAATTTCCTTGCCATCCAGCGTTTCTTACGACCGAATTACAGCTCCCCCACTCTGCTCTGTATACCAGGGAAAACACTCGACTAGCCGCGGCGA